TAACCCCTGAGACCGTCACCTTCTGTACCAACCTGTTGGTTCAGTTGGTGGAATTCATCGAAATCGATGGTCGAATACACACACACTAGTAGATCACTCGTCAATTTCGATTATTTAGCTGCTTGTACACCTTTTTCTTACGATTTTGTCCTTTCGCCTAATATATTTCGTGCAGGTGTGATGCACCTTGATAAAAAAGGAAAATATTTTTTGAGAACTCCTCACACACAACGAGAATTTCAGTCAGTGGCTTAGCATTCTTATCATGTGATGACTGATATACTCTCGGTTGATTTGGGATCCATCTTTGTGTGATATAAATTAGGGGCATTGACAATATTTATTAGACCAGCTGTAAATTCCGGTTGTAAACCTCTTATTCCAGATTTATGAACACACATGTTTTACTCAGTAACAAATTCTGTCTTATTTTTCTGTGAGTGCCGCTTTGAACGCCTTTGCATTCTGTGACAAAACAAGCTATCCCACGCTTCATTAGCTGTTTTTAAATATTTTTTATGTTTTTAAATAATTTTTCATACCCCGTGCTTCTTGACAAACGATACTTTGGAGATACGCCCTCAAGAATTTGTTGCAGTGGAGAGGTGAACGAAGTTATGGCACAGTAGGACAGAATGCAGTCCGCTGACACAGTGGACGGTGAATGTAAAGTTCCCTAACATTTGCTCACAGCTCAGAGAAAGGTGATAGCAGCCACTATGTTGGGTGTTTAATGATCTTGGACTAATGAAGAAATTCATTTCCGTATCCCCTTTAATGCCTAAGCGACGCGCTATAAACATGCTCTAAATGTCCGGATTGCAAATTCGTTGTGCCGTTTTACAGGTATCTTGGCGACTTTAAGGACAGAGATAACATCCATTAATATAAAGACATACTATCTCCTGAACCGATGAAGTCATGCAGATAAATGCTTTCCAACAATAATCAGTGGATTCCACCAACTGTATCATCCAAATGATCGGTTGTTCTGGAGTTCTTCTTTTTAGAATGATGTTGTAAGGAGATAAAATGCGTGTATCGATTTTAAAGCGGCTGTGTCGTATATTCACTGTCATTTAATGACGGTGTCCCTCGATGGGACCATGATAATATTCCAGACCATTCGGCTTCAAAAGTTTGGCCGATACGCAACACAATTTACACCCTTCGAAATTTATATGAGTATCGCATATATGAACTATTTCAAGCAGCACTTGCAAAATGTGAGATTAAAGGTTGAATACAACACTGCCTTTTTTGGAATGCCATTATACCTTTGCGCATTAACTGGTGCTATATCGGATAAAAACTCCGAAGCGACCGATACTGAAATAAAAAATAGATCAGACCCATGTATGTTTGTGACAACTATTACTGGTAAAGTGTAGAAGATTCCCCTATGCAGCACACTGCCCAATGCCATACTAATTTCTGGGTAGCCGACATGTACAGTATATGACAGTGCAACATACGTGTGGCGGTCCAAGTCGTTAGTCCTATGGTCAAGTTCCGTCCATTCCCATTCAAGGTGCGAACCGATGGCTGCTTCCTCAGCAGGGGGCCAAGTGCATGCCAATAGCTCGAAAGTAAATAAAAGCGCGTAATTAAAATGTGGTTTGTTTCTACAGGGTGATTTCCTCGGAAAACGTATATATAGGATATGTACTGCCACATTATTAACCAGTTTTGTTAAAACAAGGCGAGCAACCTTCCGGACTATGACATGGCTCCGTTTATTCCACTTTGGTGCAGCACATGTGTTAGGTAAAGGATGAGAAAATAATTGAAGTAAATTCACAGTAGCCACTTGGAAAAAGTGGTTGTATCGTATTTACGGCAGGTAATTATTTTGGTTTTTGTTTTCACGGCTCTGGGTGAAAATAAGAAGTACTGTCTACATATATGCGTCTCGAACACAAAGTAGCAATATAATTCAGGTTAAGTTTTGTGAGCCAAAATAAATGCTACTAGAACTTCCCGATACCTTTAAAATACCTGATCGAAAGTCACTGGAAGATACAAACAGAAGCTTACAACTCACCCCTTATAGATTATTTGGAAGTAAAACAGTAAGATAAAGAATAAGCAACGGAAGGAGGAGGAGTGCTGCTGGGAAATTTATAACTGCCTGCTATTTAGGAAAAATAAGAAGCAGGTTGCTACTGAATCTTAAAATACATTTGAGTATCGGATGACAGCTTTAGACATTGTACGTCAAAGTATGTTTATAAACATAAGTAGGAGGGACAATAGAACCAGATGTTCAGATGACAGCATCAGCAGCGGGGTCATGTGGATTCCATGAGGATCGACCTCATATATCAAGTCCGCCAGTGTTCACAGTTAGACTATTGAAAGGTAAACCAAAATTTGAGACTAGATAGGACATGGTAGTTCTTTGACATCTTTCTTCCTTGCATCGACGGATTACAGCGGACCACAACTGGAGTAAAACCGACCATATCTGTTAAATATGATGTCACGACTGAACCGGTTTTTCGAGCTGAGGGGCTTTTTCGCTACTACTTTGACTATTAGTGTGTGTGCCTCTGAATTGAAGAACTGTTAACGTATTTCCTTCATAGAAGTAGGAGGAAGACGAATTCGGCAAGCAGCCTTCAACTGCTAAGTTTGATGTTTCCTCGTTGCAACGTGACATACGTTCTATTTTAAGGATACTCTAGTACTATGATGCATCTTGCGTTATTTGTAGACGGAGATAACAATATATTGTTTACGAACCCTGTATTATGCACATTGTTTCCCCATAAACTGCTACAGGTTATTCGTCTGTTTTCGAGTACCACAAAAAAGCATAGATTAACTTGTGTGGAACAATAACTTACAGACGGAAGGTTAGTTCTTAGTATTTTTAAGGGCAGAATTTGCGTGTTTCTCCTATTGCCGATGGAGTACTCACACAGAAGTAGAAGAAGCGACCGCTGGAACAAGTTTATTTGTCTGGCGTTTCGGATTCTGGCCTGAATGCATCATCAGCGATAACAGCAGAGGTTTCATTATTACAATCTCAAATATGGTAGTGTACCAGAGCATCTAATGCAGGCCCTCTTGGTGATGATTTGGCGGCACAACCGAAACACGACAGCGAATTCTGTCAGATACATTACCAGTTTTATCTTACATCGAGCATATTTCAGTATGGGTGCCGATGAGTGCAGACGAAAATATATGAGGGGATTGAAAAAAGTATTCTTATTTATTTGTGATATTTTGCAAATACTGAAGTGAAAGTTGGGTAAGAGTTTTATTATACTGGAATTTGATTTAATGTCATCTGCCGTCAAGACACTTTCCAATGAGTCTCAGGAGAAGCTATGATAGTTAAGCCGCACTTTGTAAATAAGAGCAAGGTATTATGTTAGTAGGGAAATGAAGTGCTGACCAGTTAATATGCCTTCATTTGGACTATTGAAACGTTGCAGTAAATAAGTAACCCGATATAAAGAATCAAGTAGTCGAGAATTCAGTGTGACGGACAATTTTTCGGGTGATTTCGCACTGGACAAAGAAGAATAAGAAGCAACTGGAATGTATTTCAGTGTGCATTGATCAAAAACAGCCTTTCAGTCTGTCACGTTGGAATGCAGAGGTGTATTTCGACCAATACTTATATCTTAGCATCGTGCAACTGTCGAAGAAGCTGCTTTTCGCGAACCGCAAAGGCCTGATGGGCAGCACTCAGAGACAGCTCCAGTGACTGAATCTGTTGTGCAAATGAGCGTCGAAGTTCCAGCTCCCTACTTTTATACGATTCCAATTCGGCAATACGAGCAGAAAGCATCTGATCTTGACGTGCAAAGTTGCTTTGAAGTTGGGCCAATTTTTCTTTGTATGAACTGAGCTGCAATGCAAAGCAAGATAAGCACAGCAGTAGATTGTAAACCAAAAGCTACTCGGCTTAAATCCGAATACTTATATGGGGAAAATCAATGGAACGTTTTAAGCGGTTAGTAATTGACATTTGAGTTCGATCCTCTCCCCCCGCCGACAGTAGTCCCTCAGTTGAATGAAAGTGCAGCGAATACAGCACTGCGCCGCATGCTTACATTTACCAGCTGTTGCGGGAGGTAGGAGCTAATAATATGAAACCGCGTAATAGGGCAGGCTTTGCGCTATTTCTAGGAAGTTTAGGACTGGAGCTAGGACATGAGAGTTGGTAGTCCCCCACCCCCCGAGCCAAGAAACATAACTAGCCGTGTTCTGGCCTGGGGAATGAAGTTTAATGTTTACTACGGCGCGTTATTTTTGCTCTTACATTTAATTACTTATAATACAGTAATCAAGCATATTAAAGGGACGACAAAATCAAAATATATTTAGCTGTTGTTCTGCTGTGGCAGTTACGGTCTGAATGTACTTAAGTAAAGGACATTCGACACATAGCCAGCGAAGACAGTTAGGGCACTGGAGGAGTGAAAGGTTGCGCCGTCCATTCGGATAATTTGTTTCGATTTTTCTTTCGGCAATTGGACCAATTTCACTACATATGTCCCTTCAAACGTTAATCAAAATGTGTCAATAGTTTGCGATTAAAAAGGCTTTCTTTGGTAGTATTGCAATACTACTTATCGTGTAGCAAAACCTCGAAGTATTTCTGTCACGGCGGAATGCTGTCTTATGAATGCGTGCGAAAATCAAAGCAGCTGAAAAATGCTTATTTGTAAGGCGTGAAATCTTTCAGCTGATTTTCGACGTCCAGTCAGGAGTCAGTGAAGGCACACATACAATATCTCTTGTACTCATTTTGTAATAGCTTTCTTCTTCATATTTTATGCTCAAAGAAAGGCAAGGTTTTCAATTTTCCAAATTTCGTTTTTACGGGATGTTTAAGGTTGTGATCTTCCCGCTCGGATGTCCTCCTACCTGCAAGTTTATTAGTGATCTTTATTAAACATATGAAGTGGTAAATATCCGTTGCAACATATTATGAGCTATATATAGTATAACCGTAAAGTTGCTGGAAAAGGTATGATTTTATTGTAGTTTACCAAACTTTGTAAGGAAATTTATACACCTCTATACCACTAAGAAGATACCATATAGGGCTCAGGTAATTTTTAATCGACGTGGAGAATTTTATATGCAGTGGAACCTCCGTTTACGACCTTAATCCGTTGCGGCCGTGAGGTCGTCATGTGAAACACTTGTCTTGCGAAAACTAGTTAATCAAACTGCACCAGTTCACTGATTGGCTGCAGGCGACCGAGGACCCATGCCCTGAGAGCAAAACTCAACGGCGCACACTGGCACACACATGCACTGACAACTCGTTGATTGAGCGGAAACTCATCAATCGAGACAAATTTCCTTTGCGTGGCTTGCTCGTTACCTGAAATGCTCGTAGATGGAGCTATTCCTCACTGAGGCTGCACTGTATTTCATAAGGAGCAGTAATAAGCAGACAGATAAAATCCACTTTGACTGGACGGTTCGCGATCCTAAAAACCCTACCCATTATTCGAGTAAATTAAGTTGAAGGTGGGATCCGATACGACATGACCACAAGAAAGGGTATTTCGTGCATGATATCTGTGAAAGATGGTTTAATTCATAAAGAAAATGAAAACAAATAGGGAAAATTCAGTCTACCTAATGGACAGTTTCTTTTCGGGTGCGGTTTTCATAGGTAGCCGGAAAGAAGCGCATTAAAAAATCGCATCAGCTCTTGGAAGGTTGCCGCATGATAATTAGTATTCCGACACCAATTAGGTAATACCTCCTCCCCTTTAAAATTAGGTATCGGAATTTCAATTAACACTTTGTAAGCTACATCATTCACCATGTTTTCTGTGAAGTTCGTTGCCCCAGTGACCCCTAATAGTTAAAGTACCATTCTTTTAAAGCAGCATTGAAAAAAAATATTCAGGCTACAACAGTGAAAGTTTCGAAAGTGAAAGTGACGAACTCCAGTCTAGCCTTTTAGCCACTACAAGGCGAAGACCATAGAAAGCAAAATGCGCAGGCTTTAGACTTAGTCCCACTCCAATTGACCTTTATGACCCAGCGCTCATTATCTTGACAATGTGATTAATCTTCACCCACGCGGTGAATGTGCTGCCAGTACATGCCATCAGTTATCTATTCCATTTGTTTTAAGTTATAATTAAACTCGAGGCAGCACACGGGTATAGGTACAGGTAATCTCACGCTAAATTTCAGGGGTGTTAAGGTTAAGGTATTGGCCTGGAATTTGGTCCAAGGTCACCCTGGTTGAGTTTCAACAACAGACACAACCGTACAACTCTACGGTTGATCCCGCATTCGAAGACTTACATAAATGGCAGTTGCGCTGGGAGTTCTTATTTCTGGCTCATGAGGCCACCCATTTCCCGCGTAGAAAGTGCCCTAATTCTGGGCCCTCTACGCGCATTATTAGAAGCAAAGACTGCTAACACCTCTTCTGTAGACATAAAACAGCAAGAAGTATGGAGATTTTGGCAGGTACAAATAATTAATTTAACCTAGTTGTGGAAACGTGGATGGCCTCGGTGGCATTCGAGTCCACACCAGCATGGGGAAGACGTTAGTATGGCCAACGCTCTAGCCAACGGAGCTGCGATGTCCCCACCGGGAGCCTTGCGTTTAATCATAGATGAGTCAGTTTACCCTTCTACTTATGGAATCCACCAATTCTGATCTCTGTAGTAAGCTGGCTGCCCAAGCAAGATTTTCTAAACAATAAATCTAAAATCCCCCAGACGACTACCAGGCACACTCTTTTGGAACATCAAGGATTCCTAAAGTGCGCAATCCTACGCTTAATTGAATGCACATCAGTACACAATGATGTTAAGCTTACTAAAAATCGATTAGTCGATGGAGCTGGAATCGAACATAAGCTGCATGATTATAAGCATCCCGTCCTACAAGTGACCCTGCAATGTATTCCAGGAAAGGCTAGCGATGGGGTTGGGGTTGAAGTTCGGTGGGTTCTGGATAGATTTATAATTATAATACGCCAATATGTACCAACTGGCATTTAAAACAAGACCGCATTTAGTACAGGGGACGCTTATACGCATGTCAAGCCAACAATATATGAGTCCCACTTATCGCAAAAGGTAGAATAACGACTCTGTGAACAATTTGGAGGCTACAGTGTAGCCCAGACGGATGTCACTTCTACACTGCTTGAGCACATTGCCCTACCTCGCCGAGTGGACGACCAATTCTACACGTCACATTTATCCAGAGAATATGATTATAATCTATGTTTGGATCCCGATTTCTTGCGATAAATGTACAAAATGGGAATCAACAAATAAAAAAATGGCTCATTTTTGGCCGCAGACTTGAGAATTATATCCGCTGTCGATTGAACATCCAGGAGGCAGGGGTTGCGAGTTGTTAGAAAAGATACTGACCTTTTTGAGTCCCATTCCAAATCCCACCAAACCACAAATTAGTGGAATTGCTATTTGGGAGCATTAATATACTGCTGATAAACGTATTTATCAAGTTTATCTGCAGAAAAAAATCGCATAGCTAAGTGGCTATAGCAGATTTGCTACCTCATGGGATGTCGACATGCGATTTCAATTAAAAAGTTTAGTTATCCTGCTGCCTAATCACTAGATACTTCAGGCACAACAATATTTAAGCTTTTGAATGAGTTTCCTTGGGCCGCCTGCAAAACCTGCATTATGTAAAGTTGGACTACCTAAGTAGTATGTATTGTCTCCATCGATGTTTGATGCCCCTAAAAACGAAGTGCCAAATACGTTCTCCTGTACACGTTTGGCAGCGGGGTACATTTTTCCCACTTTAATACTTGAAGAAGGTAGTTTGCTGTGTTCAGAAAGTTTCAGATTATGAGTTTGCTAAGAGCGTTGTAAAGCCTCGTATCTGTCCTCTTATAAATGCTGCTTATTAGATGTACAACATGTTTTATCTGCACTGCAAAACTCGATGAGTCCCATATGGCATCTAATTAATAGCATTTATAACTATATAATCTTCATCACACAAAAATATACAGCTTATATATTGGAAACTCTGAATTCAGATGTAACAGCATGTCGAATTCCAAATTATTCGCGATTTGAAATGCTTTTTTTCAACTTGGGATTAGGTTGCAGGATAAGCAATATTTCAGCCCCACTTAAGCAATCTTTTATAACCAAAAATAAATTTCAGAATTTTGGCAAAAACTTCCTAAGTTAGCGTATACACTGCATGGTTATTTGCTCAAAAGAGAACGCCATCAAATCGGCGTTCATCTATTTATAGCTTACACGGAATAGCCAGTAAATTGCTGTTTACAATGAATATGTTATGTTATATTTCGTAGAACTACTTGTATAGTGGCTGATCACATTCGTTTAATGTTTTTTTTTCAATGCAACTTCGATGACGTGGTGCAGAATTATGAAGGAATACTGGAATATATGTACTTTAATTACTACTACATGCATTTTAGATACTAATCCCACTATTTCCTGTCGTGTCAGTCTTACACCTGCCTTTTTATTTAATTACCTCTTACTTATTAATTGCCGTTCTTTGTCTATTTTTTTCGCTTTGCGTGCTCTAATCCGTTGCTATATAGCGGCCGCGGTAAACAAATTCAACCGCATTTTACCACTTTATATTTACTTTTACGAATTCCCATGAATGTCTGTCCTATTTCTCCACTCAAAAAACCCTTAATAACACCGGCAGAATGCGAAGCTTGGGGTGTGTAGTGTCCACTACTTAAATTACTTTTTCCGAAACCCTTTTAAAACTATGGGTTATGCTGCTTTTCTAATCGAAAATAAATTTCCGAATTTCGCATACCCATTTCCGAGTTAGAATATACACTGTATGGTTGTTTGCTGAAAATAGGGTACGGCTAAAGTGGTCTTCACCTATTTATAGTTAACATGGACTGGCCAGTCCACTGTTGTTTGCAATGAATATATTACAAAACGGTATGCTTGGAAGTTACTAGGCATTGGATACGACCATCTTATAAACTAGGTGACACTCACCTCGAGATCCCTCAATGAAATCTCCTGCCCCAGTAACTTTACCCGCTCACTCGCCTCCGCTTCCAGAGCTTCTCTTTCAAGACGTTTCAGTTCTGCTCGTAGGTAAGTTAGGTCTGAAGAGTCACCAATTTGCCCTGCCAAATTCATGGGAACAGCGTTAGATACCCTCTCTACTTTTAACCGTCTGAGCTCCTCATCCACTCGATTGAGGCGGAGCACGAGGGCAGCCCTTTCCTAAAGCATTGCAAAAACATACTTAGATCGGTTAGTATCACTTTTGTTAGCGAAATGGACATCTGAAGAAGTGGACGAGGGGAACCTGGAGTAACCGCACCGGAATTTCCGACGCAATCGCTCGCACCCCTCAACGCGGCCTACGCAAAATGTGCGAAAATCGAGTTCTGCGCTTACCAGGTCAGAATTGTTCCGTTCCTCAAAACACTGCAGAACGCGAGAATTTGCCGACTGTCGTATCCCGTTCATCTGTCGTTTAAGCAAACTCTGCAGGCTGGAGAGTCGATCGTCCATCGTCGCCTTTAACCGTTCAATCTCCGAGTTCTGTCTGATGGCGACCCGAACCGCCGCTTCGTACATTCTTTTCGCTCTATTCAGGTTCTCCTCCTGGTGGGCTCTCTGGACAAAGGGAAGGAGGAAATTTCTTCAATGTGTGCGGCGCTTATAAATTTTACTGAAGAAATCTCAGCGGTGAAGCAACCGGTGCACAGCAAATGGGTTGACAGCTTTACTCATGAAACAAACACGCGCGCATCGATGCTTCACGCACAGTACTGATGCGAACATGGTGGCTAATTTTAGGCATTAGCTTTAAGATAGCGGAGTTCGTATGTGTAGAAATTTATTCCTCAGGACGCTTGAAATTTAACATGTAGTCCCAGCACAACGGACTTCAGTCTGGGCTGGCCACGCCAGTGACAAGTGGTAGAAGGAGGCATGCCTGACTTTAGATTTATTGCCAGCGGTCAAAAAGATAAAAAGCCAGCCCACCGTCGGAGAACAACGCAGAGTTTAATTTAGTTGACGTTGGAGAAGGGCATGCCCATCTTTTAAGAATAAATAACTCGCCAAGAGAGCTTTGACACCAGAAAAGGAAGAAAATGTGAAGTGCAGCCGGCCCAGGCCATGATGGAGTATACAGTCAATGGAAAATATTAATAAGATCATGCATAGACGCCTCGTGCCACTCAGAGTGTAGGCCACACAGGACTGGGTAGAAAATCTACCGTCATCATTAGGCTTAAAGGTTCGCAAGGAATACATGCCGGCCACCTAAACTGACCTTACTGAACTTTCGAATGCAGTGGCTATGACAAAGAAACCGATAGATGCGAATGCATGAGCACTGACTAGCGGCAAGATAGATAAGTCAGAATGGTCCATTGCAGTTCATGTCACTCACATGGGGCAAGACTTCAACATAGTTGCCGTGGCAACATGTTTGCCGAGAAGAGACTCACAGGGTTTAACTTCAAAAATGGCTTCTGTCAATCAATACGTCAGCCAAGAGTCACACAAATTCGCCACCCGTTTATATGGATCTGTACTGGTTCCTAACAAAATGCGGATAAAGTGGGCACACATTGACTTCTGGTGGCGCTATACGAAAACTGTTTACGGGAATCGCTGGTTTTGACAAATGCATATGTGAACACATCAAACCTTATCCTGTTATTTAAATAAGAGTTCATTCTAAGTGTTTTATTCAGCGTCGGTGCCCTTGGAAATCAGCATGGTTATGCACGTTAATGTTGTCTGTGGTCGTTTTCTCTCAAATATTAGCTGCGAGCCTTTGGGGAGCTGTGTGATTGCAGGAAAAGACACAATTAACGTTCGATGGAATGGAACCGGTAAAAAGAAAGGGAGATCGGAATTGCCACTTCTAGTTTATTAGCGCTCATCAGCCAGTCATATCCAATCCCAGCTGTGGACCACCAGAGATTCGAACTCGGAACCCTTTCCTTATCGAATGTGACACTACCATTAAGCTACAGACCCGTTGTATTTTGTGGTTGCGATCGGGAACATGAAGATATTAGGACGCTCACCGAGCTGGTTAGGGAACATGCTCGTCCCACTGTGCCTTGGAGCTCACGCCACTTGTAATCTAGGGTAGTAGGTAATTTAAATAATTTGTCGGCTATTGAGTTATATCGGGAGAGCGTCGCTCAAAAACAAGAATGTTTTATTGGCTACTGGATCAGTCAATCTCCATTCATTTGGTGAGTGATTAGTTTAGCAAATGCCCGTTTGAATGTATAAACCCGACAGCACTCACCATCTGTTTCAAATGGTCGAATTGCTCTTCCAACACAGTATACTTTTTGCAGGACTGCTCGTAACGGTGCTTCCAGAGAGCAACACTCATCCATGCTTTCTTGATGCACTTCTCTGAACTTTGTTTCTCCTCCTGAAAGAAAACAAGTAAACACCGATCCAGCCTTGAAATCAGAAAGTTTTTATTTCTTACGAGCCTAACCGATAACAGCTTAAACATCATGGGCTCTACAGCATGGTGGGCGCAGGAACGGTGCGTTTCGTGTAAACTAGTTTATAGTGATGGCGAACCTACCAAGAATCCACCGCACTATATCCCCCCACCTGGGCCCGGTGACATGACAACGTCAGTACGACCGGAGGTGGGTTTGGGCGCGGCGATGACTACTGATAAACACGCCCAAATCCTCCAGCTCCTAAAGTTCTGCCTCAAGACGTACTTCGCCTTCAACGGAAATATCTACGAGCAGATGAAGGGCACGCCTATGGGTTCGCCCATTTCCGGACTGGAGTCTGTTGTGGTTTTAGAAAAAATCAACTATGTCGGAGAAACCGGAAGAGATCTCCGGACGCGAATGGCCGAGCATGCAGCGGTGAGAAAGAAAGACGCCAACTCCCAGGTTGCAGCTCACTCGACGG